CTCCCTGGAGTTTTCCCTTCTCCAGGCTGATCAACCCCAACTCTCTGTCTTCATAGGAGAGGTGCTCCAGCCCTCTGATCATCTTTATGGCCCTCCTCTGGACTCAGTCCAACAGGTCCACGAATTTTCTTATGTTGGGGGCCCCAGAGCTGGATGCAGTACTCCAGGTGGGGTCTCATGAGAGCGGAGCTGAGGGGCAGAATCACCTCCCTCAGCCTATTGGCCGTGCTTCTTTTGATGCAGTGTGGGATGCGGTTGGCTTTCTGGGCTGTGAGTTCACATTGCTCTCCCTTTAATCCTGATGCATAAGGTCTTGGTCAGCTCCTCACCCGTCTCCAGGCACACGTCCATGTATTCCAGTTCATCATTGGCATCGAAGGCAAATTTATTCCCATTTCTTACGCCTTTCACACATGGGAGGGAAGATTTATGAAGAAATTCCTGTGAACCAAGGGATTCTGTCAAGAACTTTCTTTAAATGTGACCAAACTAGAGAAAAATGGGATTCATTATTTGGAAAGATGTTATCACTGTGCATGAAAAGCACTATGCATATGTCTGCCCTGGTGTTAAAAACTACATTTGTGAAAATCACCGGAGTACTTTTTCTTGAAAATACCTCCATACTGTTGTTGCCTTTTTCCTCTTAAAAGTTCCTTCCTCTCCTGAAAAGGAGTGTAGGATAGTAAAAGAAGAGACTTAATATTCCAATGTTATGATACAGAGGCTCCTAATACTGACCAACTTTAGCTGATATTTTATCTTGTCCTTTTATTTCAGGCTGCCTTTACCTAGGATTTTGCGGCTTTTTTTCTGACTCCCTGACAAATGACCATGGGGAACAGGAGTACAAACTTTGCTGTGACACCTCTAATAATAATATGTAGTAGAAGGAAAGGAATTGAATCTAAGGAAGAAATATTTGTGCTAGATATTACTTCTAGACGCATATTTCTGAAGGTTAATGCAGTAGATATTATGTGAATATGTTGCATAAGATATTCTACATTCTCATGCTGGCAATGCAGAATTTTTAACGTTTCAAATATATTGAGTAGTGTAGAGTGCCAGAGTAGGCTGGCACACACTAAAGCACCTACAGAAATGATGCGTCCAAAGAACAGTGTTTCTGGATCACAAAATGTCATAACTTTGTTTCATTCTACAGAATCATGTGAAATGCCTCATTTGGACATTTTGAATTACCATGCAAATAAAACTACATTCATGCCTGAAGATACAATTGAGTATGCATGTTTGGAAGGATATGGAACTACAAATAATATGCCAACTGGTACCTCAGTGTGTGGCATAAACGGTGAATGGAGTCCAACACCCCAGTGCCTTGGTGAATATTGTTGTATTTGCTAATCAGTGTAACTCTGTATACACTTTCTGAAGCTTTTTTCTTTAAGACTTTTTGTTGTGGGTTTTTTTTTTTCCAATAAGTAGCATTTCGTGTATTTTTGTAGGGTGTACACTATATGTTAAAATATTTTGTCTTTGTAGCAATAGAATGTGAAATGCTGACATTGCCCAATGGAGATTTTTTCCCCAAGGAGGGTAAATACCGCAATGGAGATGTTGTGAAATTTACCTGTGCAAACGGTTACGTAAGAGTGGGACCTGCCTCTACTCAGTGCTATTACTTTGGATGGTTTCCATCAGCACCAGTGTGTAAAGGTATTTCTCCTGTTAACTTTATTGTAGTAGGAAATATAGGAAAATGCCTGGGTCCTGAAGGCTTCTGGGGATACCTTCTATAAGCCAGTCTTGCTCCAAAGAACAACTGTCCCATCCATCTTCATCTCTAAAACGGCATGAACTGGCCCTCTTTGGATCATTATATAGCGTTTTGCTATTTCAAGTGAAAAATTCTGAACAGTTGACGTTTTAATATTGAACTTTCTGTTAGATTTAGTTATGCCAGCTGAGGTTCTGTAATAACTGGAAGTGAGCTGGAAAATGGCTTGCACAAAACTTCACTCAGGTTATTGACTGTAATGTATGAAAAATTATTTATTATTCAAAAGGACATAAATAATGTGCAATATGGCAGTCAGGAGTGATTAATTTGAGTAATGTCCTAAGTTTGACCACTGCCTAATGTTGATACCCATCAGATATTGTACACTATGTTCCTTTTTCTGATCACATGGCACCGAAGAAAAAAAGCTGTTTTGGAGATGACACAGAGCTCTGGACCCGAGCAAAAGAAACTCAGTGAAGGGTTTTCCCTGTGAGATTCCTCAGCTTCACCCAGTAGGATGAACAAACTCATGCAGAAGGGAAGATAAATGCCCCTATTCCTCTCATCCTTGTTAAGACAGAGCATAACAGTGGCATCTGAAAAGCAATTATTTTGCTGGTGCTATACCCTTTCATGAGGAAGCTTGAGAGGATGAAGAGATCTCGTATTTCATATCTCCCTTTCTTCCCACTCAAACAATTTCCATGTTGTCTTTCATGCTCTCATCCTTCTTTTTGCTCACTCTCTTTTCCATTTTAAAACAAGTGTATTTCATATAGTTGGCTCTTTAGCTCAGGAACATTTTAAGCTCCCTTAACAGGAGTTCCATTAACTCCATCAGAAGCTAATTGCTTTAATATACAGTACATATCACTTGCTAGGTGACTTTTTATAACATATGTTATTATTACTTGCAGTACTAAAAAATACTGAGTTCAGAGCATAGATTTGATCTTTTGATTTCAGGGAACGTGCGTGGCTGTGGACCCCCACCTGAGATTAGCAATGGAATTATTTCTGGTGGCTCTGTGGAACGGTATCAGCATGGGGACAGAAAGCAATATGAATGCAACATGGAATTTAAATTGGTTGGATCAAAGGAAATAGAATGTGTTGATGGACAGTGGTCATCTCCTCCCTCTTGCATTGGTAATCTATATAACTCTTACTTGTGAGAAGTCTATAATTCGCTGTAGGCTAATACTTCACAGATGTTTTCACAGTTAAAATTACAGATTTGCAGGTATAACATATGACGTTCAAAATCATCTTATAGATGAAAAGTAAACACACGCTATATGTAAACCCAAAACTTTATTAGTAGTATAAGTGAAATCTTAACAGTCCAATCAAAGAATTGTTGAGTCCAGATCAAATTATTATAGAAGGATAAAGAAAATAAATACATAATATATAAAGAATAATTATAAATATATACATAACACAATATCTAAGTAATGCAAACAGTTTGTAATATATAATACAGTTGTTATATACACACTTTCTCTTATTTACCCCTTTATCCAGTTTTATGCTCACAGTTCCATTGCCCCTTTGGGTCCTAAAGTCAATGTCTTCAGTCTGGTGTGTTTCCAAGGGAAGTCACAGCACATTATCAGTACCTCAAGTCACTTACTGGGTAGAATAAAATGTTTGTGCCGATGACCTCCCCTTCCTCCTTACAGGATCTGCTTGGGGTAATTTTTCGGTTTGCTAGCATGCTTTTGCTTGCCCTTTTTTCACTGGTCTACAAGTTCTGAATTAGATATGTTGTATTTTAAATACGTTAAATACTTGTTCTTTGCTCTTGGTATTACCCCTTAAACCAGTTTTGATCAGCTCCAGGTCTAAGTTGGCCTCTTGTGAGCTATTCATAGCCTTGGGGTGCCAGGCTATGCCCTGTCTCTTACCATCCTGTGCCTCTACTCTGCCACACCCAACCTTTGTCCCCACTTCTCAAGGACTCCGTTATCATACCAGCCTTCTATTCACCTGCATCACTGTGTTAGAGTCTTAATTACTCACTCTACAGAGACTAAACCTTGTTACTACTATGTGTATAAAACTGTGGTTGTACCATACAGAGATAACCAAAAGTAAATCCAATAGCCTGGTCACTAGAAAAATTGCTGTTACAGGTAAAACCAAGCCCCCGGCCAGGTCAGGACAAGTTCTGACAAAGTAAGCCTGATAAGGCTCCATCCTCAGATCTTGGAAGCTCGGTACAAACTTTGTGGCCTCTTTCTAGCAATGGCAATACTGTATGTTACTGGGGCACAGGGCTACAAACACGGTGACTATTAATGCATTATGTATGTTGCTGTCTTCCCTAGGCTAGAGTCAGACACATCCAACAGTTTTTTATAGTCCAGATATTGAAATAGTGAATAGTTCTACTGTCAAGTCTCCTGCCTAAGCAATAGCACCCACTTTCTGTGCATGTCATTAGGTAGTGTACCTCAAACCTGAGAGTAGGAATGTCAACAAAAGGAGTTAAAAAACACTTGTGCAAAACTCCTATTTGTTAAGACACACTGTCTCAGAATTGAATTAGGATGGAATATTCAATCTGAAAATCTGTAAATACAGAAAATAATTTGGGGCTTTATTTTAACACAGGATCATCTAACAGCAGAACCAATAAATGGTGTTTTTTTATGGAATGGTTTACTATGTCCCTATACATATACATTCTGACATGTCTTCCATGAGCAGCATTGATGGTTTAAAAAAGTGCAGCATGGAGCTTGCATCTTTTCAGTCCTTGATCCAGTGAGAATAGTTTTGGTGCACAGACTTGAAAGAAGAGAGGTCCAAACTTGAGTGCAGGGCTGTTCGAATTCAATTTTTGAGTTTATCACATGGGTCTTCCCTCTCCCACATTAAGAGCGGGCCACATGCCCTTGTTTCCCTTACATGCCTTTTTCTTACTTCAAAAAAAAATAACTACTTGCATGCTGTACTTCTCTGTGCAAGCCATTACCCTTTGCTGTCACTACCACTGCAGCTTTTGACAGCCCAAAGCAGGAACTGCTATTATTACATAGAGGTGACGGCACTGTAGCCCTCTGCATGATGTTACCGCAGTTTTCCATTCTTGTAATAATACTAATTGAAAGTGCACATTACAAATGTGTAGGTGTATAATCAAATGTAATTTTGACTAATCAGGATCAGGGATCCAGGTGAGTTGGCTCAATCCCACTCAGGGATCCAGATGAGTTGGATTAATTGAAGGTTTTCTTACCCTTTAGAGTTTATGGACCAGTGAAAAACAGTTTGGGAAATTAACATTAGCTAAAACGACTCGTGGAGCATGCTGTGGAATTACCACAGTGATGGAAAAGGAAGGGAAAAGACAAGAGAGAAATTTAGTAAACTGACTAAAACATATACATACTCAACTGTGTTGAAGTTTAGTTGTTACAATTAATGGGAGTAAGTTTGACTCCCAAATGCAAATGTAGTTCTTTTTATTTCAGTTCTTTCAGCTATTCATATATGACTGCAATATTATTGTAGAATACTTCTGCTCTTCTCAACAGAAGACAAAATGCCATGTGGATCGCCTTCCTCTATTCCGAATCTTGTTCTTCATCAGGAAGACCAGACCCAGTTTTTGCATGGGGCTGAAGTAGTTTGTGGATGTAAAACAGTCTCTGGCAATTCCAAGGAAATGAAAATAAAATGTCTTAATGGGGAATGGAAGCCTTTACCTCTTTGTCCTGGTAATCTATTTCCACAATATTTCCATAATATTTCAGATGTGAGTGTAACATAGTTCTACTCAAAATTGCAAGGACTTCAACAATCTACATGTAGCCTGATATACTATAGTTACATGCATCGCAACTAAGTATTTTTGTTTTCTCCTCTTTTAAATGTGAACATGTCCTTCGTCCTGGAAAGACACTGCACCTACAACTTTGGAAGCACTCTGAGTAGGTTTGGGGAAGGAAATGGACACTTGCATAGTGGGTAAAATCAAGTATGGGAGTACATCTCTGGTGTACGGTGGCTTTTACCCATTTTCAAGTGTTCCTCCCTGGTAATGACACTTCAGAAGCCTTGGGACATACCTGCAATAAAGTAGCATGCCTGTTGCGTTAATTACTTGTAGTTTTATGTCTCTGTCTTTGCTTTTTTTTAAAATCCTACTGGGAATTAAAAATAATATTAGTAGCCACAATGTGCTGGGCTTATCCCATCCTCATCATTTTTATGTGGATTTTTCATTTCTGATCAGTAATTTTCTCTGTTTTCTCATGTTCCCATTGAGTTTTGTGGTGCACTAATTGAATTGAAGTAATGTCTTTTAAAAGGGTATAAAACAAAGCCTTTTCATAAGAAAAAGAAAAAAAGATTACTTTGGAGTCAGTAATTTAAGAAAAAAGTGATACTGGACAAGAAGGAGTCTTGTTTGGGATAAATTGCTCCAGCACTTCACTTATCTTTAATGGAATACAGTTTATGATATATCCAGTTCTTGGTTCCTCCTTTCTTCAGAAGTGATTTTATATTCATCAGTGATTTGAGTACACTGTACCTTTATTTACAATTATGTGGAGGACTGAGTCTGGCACAAAACACAGTCTGCTTAGCTTTCACAAGTAGGTTGCGTTCTGACTGCCAGAATCACCAGTTGAGGACACAAGACCTGGTTATGACTTAGATATACTTCCACAGGAGACTGATACCCGATACATATTCTCTGTGAAGTAGTACTTCCTTTATGCTCCTATTTCTACAAGCATCTTGCTCATCTCACTACCTTTTCATAGTTTTAGGGAAGAAAATGCTTAGGTTTTGTATTATTTACTGCACTCAGCAAAAGGGATCCTGTCAACATAAAAGTAATTGCTTTGTGAGTAGGAACAGTGTCTGCTTTAGACAGCAGGAACAAAAAATCATTCTGTAATCTAGGAATCTTAGGAGTTACTTCAAACTACAGTAAATAAAAAACCACTTTCACATGGACATGCATTAGGGAACTGGCGACCTCTTCATCAGTGAATGTGTATGTACATATTTTCTGAACTAAATGTGATTTTTAGCTCTTTTTGTTGATTTTTTTTTTTTCCAGATCCATCTCCTCAGTGTGTACTTCCTATGCATGTTGAGCTTGTGCGCCAGGGTCGTGTTTTCAAGCCGAAAAAGGAGACTAAGTTCCGTGGAGTTATACATTATATATGTACATCAGCCGACAAAAGTACTAAACAGGCAACTTGCGTGTCTGGAAAATGGTCACCAGAGATTGAATGCACAGGTATGCTTTTAGATTTGCATACAATTTCTTCTTTTCGTCTAGGAATGATAAACGCTTGTTATTAAAGCTTCTTAGCATTGCTGTGTCACTAGTCTGAAATGGAAATGCTTACATGCTTATATATATGCTTACTTGATTATATGCTAAAGGATAGTCATAAGTAATTATGGGAATAATTTGAATAGTTAACTAGGTTTAGAGAAGCACTATTTTAGTGAGGCATACTTAATAATCTGTACTCTGACAACTGGAACAGTTGTCATTGTCACTTCTGATGTAAGACAAGATACAACGATATATTTAAGCTTAGTTCTTTAAAAGGGCTTTACCCTGGTGCAAGTGAGGGTAGCACATAGCTCAAGCTCCAGTGAAAGCTCCTTTATTTCCTGTAAACATTCAAAACTTTTCTGTTCCTGATTTTTGTTTTTTTTCCCTTCTGTTTTTTCCAATTGCTTCCTAATGAAACAACAAGGAAAAGCTGGGCTGGCCAATTCAAAAGCACAGACCTAGAGGAGACTGCCCTTATCTAATACACACCAAAGGTCAGATGCCTGCCGGACTGTCTTTATGCGTGGCAGAGCAGGATTCTGCCTGTAGAAGGCATGATTGTAAAACAATCATCGCCTCGTTGACTGCTTTGATTATGCCAGATTCATGGGAAATGATGCTTGGAAGTGGGAGGAGCACACAGAATGGCAATCACTCGAGGGAGCATTCTCTTTCAAAACCACATGTCCCTACCTTCCCAGTCTTCTGGAACCACTAGAAGCAACAAAGGAAGCTCTTGAGGTCTCCTCCTTCCTAAATCTACCATCTTCCCTCACTTTTTCTTACCTTTGGCAGAAGTAGTCCTTTATTCCTTGAGTGGGAAGATAGAAGTTTCTTTATAGAGAGAGGAACAGGGAGAGCACACAGGAGTGTGCAGCTGTGTGTAAGGGAAAGGAAGGGCTACAAGAAGCTTCAGCTTAGATTGGTGTAGGCAACTGTGACTATCTTTTCTATGAGGTTGAAAGCAGATGAGCATGGGAAGGCAGCTCTGGTGTTTCCGAAGCAGAACAAAATGATCATGATATTAATTAAAGCTTGAGGTAGCTACTGAAGAGTTGTTACCGCCAGTGTTTTCTTGGTTGTTAGTGTTGTAATCTGTGATGAACTGTTACATTTTATTGAATGTCCTATTATATTATAACATGAGTATGTGTCCTTAGATGAGGAGAGTACATGCCCACCTCCGCCTCAGGTGCCTAATGCTCAACAGATAGCAGTTGGAAGAAATTACAGGCATGGGAGTAAAGTGACTTTTTCATGTCTGAAGGGTTTCCAGCTCGTCGGTGTGAAGGAAATAACATGTATAGAAGGGAAATGGCAATCACCACCTTACTGTGTGGGTCAGTAGTGGATTTTTTTTTTCTATTTCTTTTATTGTGAATGTCTGTGTTATGCATTTGCAGTCATCATTAGCAGGAGGATGATATTATTTATGTTAAGATCATCATGTAGGTAACTGCAGAAGATCATCAACAGATAACTGCAGAAAAGCAACAGAATGTAAGTTGCTAAACAAAGTGCAGTTAAGCAACTGCTGGACAGTAAGTCTTTTTATTTACACAGACTTATCTAAGATGGCATATAAAACTTCCATGTAGCCCCTCAAAAACTGTGTGTTTGGTTTTTTTGTTTAGTATATTGCAGAATGGAGTCTGTTTTGACTGGTGGCCTTTAATCATATGCTGGTGGAAAAAATCAGTATTATTTATTATTTAGTTGCAGTAGTAGCAATCTTTGACTTTTTCATTTTCATTCTTTCTTGATTCTTCTCCTTTTCGTGGCTTCTTCCTGTAATAGGAATATAAATTATATGGCATAACTCAGGCCATCTATTCTAAGAAGTGCTGAGGAATCTGTAATCCGATTGTTAAAATATTACTGATGCAGGTGATATCTTCTAAGCAGAAGTTCATTAAGAGGTAGAAGAAATGGGTAGGACATAGATGAGCACAGGACAAATGAGATGCCAGCTGGTGACTGATGTGCACAACATGCCAGCCAATTCTGTATTTCTAAGCTGCAAAATTCTGATGTCGTGTGGTTTCTCTTCTTTTGCGTTGCCTTTGAGTCTCCACTTCTGCTGATAAGTGGCAGACATAGAGAAGAATAACCAGAAAAATTGTTGACCTGTTCATAAAACAGCTTTTACTGAAATAAAATTCCCAGTCCCAGTTAATGAGCAGGAACCTTGACTGTAATTAGATCGGTTGTATTGTGGAATTCATTGCAAACATATGCTTTCACCTTGATGTGTCAACTGATAAACCAAAATTTACTAAAAATGCACATAAAATATAATTTAAGTCTACTCACTCTACAGTAGTATAGGAGCAGAAAGCATTGGGACAGGCCTGACTCAGGAGGGCTTCACAGAGATTTAATCCATCATATGTACCAGGAAGTACATTACAATTCTTTAAGTTCTGTTCTCTTTTTCATCATGTACGTCACCACAAACCCCCTCAGGACATTGGTACAACTTTATTAATGGTGGAAATATTTAATAAGTAATATTCGAGAAACTCACTTTCAGTATCCCAAAACAAGACAATGTATCTTTTATTTCTCTGTCTATGAAATTTTACCTGTTCTTGATACTAAGCTGTAACTGTATCTCCTTGGCATGACCTGGAAAATGGCTTTAATTTGGTTCAAAGGAAAAGAAAGAAACCCCATGTAGGAGGGAAAGGAGACAGAAGTTTTGGTTTGTATATCTTAGATATTTCTTCATCTTCTTTTCAAGCCATTTTATTTATGTTTGGATTATTTACTCTTTTTTCTTTTCAGTTTTAGACGGTAGATATCATTGGAATACTAATTGTTTTGCATTATTGTTTATCTGTTTTCTGTATTTTATAGAAAGACCATGTTTGCCACCACAACCTGTAGAATGTGCTGATGTTCCCAGGCTGGAAAATCAAAACTTAAAAATTCAAAAAGAAGGGAAAACAATTTATCTGGCTGGTGCTAGATTTAAGTATGTTTCTCATTCTGGATACATGTTAGCTGGACCATCAAATATAACTTGTTCTATGGGAAACTGGACTTCAGCTCCTACATGCTTGGGTAATATCAAAAAATACTTTTTTGAAGTGCATTTAGCAATGAAATGGAAAGAATTGTAAACGGGAGGTTGACTAATAAGAGCCAGTAACTCCATATATTTTGCTGTGGAATCTTGTCATCCCTCATGGATGTCTTCAGAGCAATCCTGATTGGATGAAAGGCTGACTTTTTGAATGCAGTTTAGTTTTTAAATATTCCTTTGTATTCTTGCAATTTTTGTTCAGTTTATATATGCCAGGTGAGTCCTTGGCACATCGTCGTAATCCAAGGATCTGTTTTCTGCAGAGTCCACTGGTGACTGGGAGTTGCTTTGGTGCTTCAGTGATAGAAAGCACTTCCGCGTAGTAAGGGACAGAAGCCTTCCTTAAAATTTTCTGGCATGGTTAGAAACAGATTCTAAATATTTCACTGACTGAAGTCCATGTCTGTTTAGAGGAATGACTTATTTAATCATCCGTATGCTACCTTTTATATAAAATTCACTGTCAGTGGATGACTACGCTGATGTTAGAAAAAGCTCTCTATAGCATCTGTTTGGTGGAAACAGTACACTCATTCTACGTGTCTCACATTAGCACAAGCATCAACTTTCTATATCTTTTCAGAAATGCCGTGTGGAAGTATTATGAAAGTTGCCAATGCTCAAATTGAAGGCAGAAAAAAGGAAATTTATGAGCCTGGTGAAACAGTTCGCTACCAGTGTGATGCAGGGTTCCTGATTGTTGGTCCCCCTGAAATTATTTGCAGAGAAGGAAATTGGACAGCACCGCCCTTCTGTGATGGTATAGGTTCTACTTCTAAGTAGTCCATGATCCTTCCTAGTCTTTCATGTTGTGAATTAAAATGCTATCAAGTCAGGCATGCAGGTGAGTCAGGCCAATGGAGCCAACAGGTGTCTTGCTTTGAACAGGCTGCTACAACACCTATTTTTTCTGGCTCCTGAGAAACAAGCAGGGTAGATGAGCAAAGAAATCGTTTTCCCTGTGGGCTGAAGCTAGTAGCTGAAACTTAGCTCACTGTTGAAGTCAAACAGAGAGAGGGTTATGGGGGAATGGACACTAGCTGCGAAGGAGGAGATAACTGGTAGAGTAATGGAGGTTCTTAAGATAAGATACTCTTTAATATTCTTTAAATATTTTAAGACATTCTTCATCACTAAGAAGGTCAGTTTCTGAAAGTTACCTTCAAATAGTAAAGAAATGACATCACTCTCCAGCCCCTTGGCACACAATACTGTACAGCACCAATCTGCACCTTCAGCTGATCTCTACAACTCCTTTTCTCTTTTTAGATGCACTAGGCAAAAATAATATTGACTGGTGAATTGTTGCAGAAAAAAGACCATAATGGCTTCCTGTTCTAGCCATAGAAAATGATCTGCATTACACAAACCATTTTTGCTCATCAGGAACAATGGTGCTCCAGAATGTAATATTCTGTGATTGTAATATTGCTGCACTACTGTTCTTAAATGCACCTTTCTTTCCAGATGTTAGCTGTGGAGCCGCACCTGAAATTCCCAACGCTTATATTACAAGCACTCAACAGGAGAGGTATCTGCCTGGTGCCAGAGTGCAGTATGAATGTGAAAGCAATTTTCAAATGATGGGTGGAAATTACGTCACTTGTGCAAATGGAGAATGGTCAAAAGCACCAACTTGCAGAGGTAGGAATCTATGCTTTCGTCTTGCCTGTCAGCACAGAGGGGACTGTTTACCTAAATACTGTAAAGACTTTACCTTTTTTACTTACGTTTTCTTTGTGTACCTGCAAACGTGACTGCAGCGGTGTCTCTTTTCAGATGTGACGTGTGAACCTCCTCCAGAAATCGCTGGTGGTAAAGTTCAAGGTGTTAAAAAGTCAAGGTATTTGCCTGGGCAGAGTGCTAGCTACCAATGCTGGCAAGGTTTTCAGATGACTGGGCCGTCCACTGTAGTGTGTCAGAATGGGACCTGGACAGAGCTGCCTAAATGCAAAGGTAATTTCTCTCTGTCTTCATACAGTCACCTGTCAGTGACACTGGCATGAAGCTGACTCAGTGGCATTTACTTCTCCAAATTACAGTCTCATTACAAATGCAACGTATCTGGCAGCCTCAGGAAAAAGACATTTTCCCAGGTATGCATTCAGATGGGTTTACCAGCTGAGAGACCCAGGTGGCTTCACTCGAGAGGGCCCTATCTGGAAAACCAGCCTGAGGCTGACAGCAGTTGCTGGCCAGGTTTAATTCTGTGACACAAGCCTTGGACTTCTTCGAACCTACTCTCTGTGCCTGCCTGATGAGAAGAGTGTGAGAAATTTTGCCATTTATGTTGGAGAATAGAGCCCACAGGTTCCCTGCTGGTTGCCATCCAGATAATGCAGATGATGCATTGCTGTATTGAATGCTATGGAGTCAAATTGACTGTTAAATCAACTGAGGGTAGAATTTGATGCGTGAGCCAATACCTAGGTACTCTGTTGGTGCCTCCTAGGATTTCATGAGCCCACTGAATAATCTCATTTGTTTTCGTTAGACATACAGAAAGTTTCAGCACACGAACCAATGCAGCAGCATTTGACTCAAACACCACCCAGCTGGGAGCTGCAAGGGGTGCAGAAACAGCAGATGAATTAAGACCAGGCTCCATATTGTGGCTCCAGAACACAATGCCAAGTGCAAAGAGTGTCACTGCTGGTACCAAGGGATCTAGGTCTTCTCTGAAGATTTCCCAATGCAAGGTCCATTGGAAGGCCAGACTTGGCAGCAGTGTGATGCTTGAATAGGTATAAAAATCCATGTGGCAGCGGTGATTCAGGATTGGCATGTGTGAACTTTCCAGTGCCCATAAGTGGTCCACAGATCTCAAGGGCTACCCCATTAGTGACTGCAGTTGTGCAGTTCAGTAACAGTCTTTATCATTTGCAATCGGTTTCATTTTTCTCACTGCTCAGGCAGTACAGGGAAGAGGTGGGTGTCAGGCTCTTCTGCAGAAAGAGCTGTGCCAAACGCTACGCCATTATGCAGGACGCAAGAAAGTCCTGCAGACAGCTGCAAGCACTTTAGCTGTGGACAAACGGCGTGAACTGGCAGTTGTGACTCTCGGCACTGGAGAAGAGAGAAACTTTTGCTCTTTTTCACCTGCCAGGTATTTGGTTTTCTCTCTGCTTTCCTCCAGGTTTCTCAGAGTGGTGCCAACATACTGTCTGGTAGTATTTGTGGCCAGGCCTCCGTTGCAATTAAACTCTTATGGCTTTCTGTCTGATTGGGAATTTTCTTCCAGGGAAAGGTGGGAAATGTGGCCCACCTCCAGTTATTGAAAATGGAGACCTTCTTTCCTTTCCCATGCAAGAGTATCGACCAGGTACAACTCTGGAATACAAATGCCCAAGTCTTTATGTCCTGGAAGGATCTCGGCGTATCACCTGTATTGACGGACAGTGGACAAGCCCCCCAGTTTGCCTAGGTAGGTTGAAGCACTTGCTGTGTGACTGCTTCTGTTTTCTTTTTCTCAGATCCCGAGGGCATCAGTTGTGCAGCAGCACTTGTGCTGGAGCTGTGATGACAGCAGGGCAGAACAACGAGTCTTTCTTTTGTCCAGAAGGAGTTTCTTCTTGAAGTTAACTCATGTAGTCCCCTCTGCTGCCTGCTGTCTCTTGCCACCACAACAGGTTCGGGAGGATCGCCATCGCTGTGCAGTGCTCCTGAGTCCCAAGTTGGGGACGCTGCTCTGGTCAGCAGACTGTGAGCAGGGAGGATGGGTCTGAGTGTGCAGCAGCGCTGGGGAAATCTGGGGGTGCATCTGTGACATGGCCATGAGGAAACAAATTTAGAGAAGTGCTGAGCAGAGGTGAAGAAGGGATCTCAAAAAAGACACAAGGAAGTTCATTGGTGCCTGGTGACTTCCCCCACCCATGCTTTGATCTTGCCCTGTGTGACTGTCCAAGTGAAAAGGCTTCTCCATAGCTCTGCATGGGGTCTTAGCCGTGGTCTTTTTTCTCTTTTGCTTGGATGTGAATGTCTTTCATGTTGCAAGGAACAGAGCGACAGAGCAAAAGCTGGAAGCATTTTGTGATGCGAAGAACTTCTGTAGGCTCTAGGGGAAAAAAAGTTATTCCTGGTGTGCCTTAATGAAGTGATGACGTTCTTCTCTTGCCTTTTTCAAGTGGCCTGTACAGCATCTGAAGAAGACATGGCCAGAAACAATATTGAGCTGAAATGGCTCGTAAGACGCAAGCTGTATTCCAGATCGGGTGACACTATTGAATTTCAGTGTAAAAAAGGATATTTGCAGGACCCAGCATCTCCCCCCTTCAGAGCACAGTGTGTGGAGGGGACGTTAGACTATCCACGGTGCAAGCTAGGAAGTAAGTCATCTCCACTCTGGCCACAGCTTAGCCGCTGTATTGTTGCATTTTTAGTGCTGAAGCTGATGGGAAAGCCTTTAGCTTTCCTGGGGAAGCACCTGGGGGGGAGCCAGGGCGCGGGAGGATCCTGTAAGCTGCAGGCACTGAAGGGCAGTGCCCTCAGGAAGGTATGCCCTTTACTGGCATACCTAAACTGGAAAGACTGCTGGGGAGAGGGCTCTCGGGGGCTGGTACTAACAGTTTGAGGGCATCGGTTGTCGGGTGAGAGGTCTACAGGCAAATAATTAAAGTACTTTTTCCAGAGAACTGTACAGTGCTTCGGAGGATTATGGACACAAACAATATCGTACTACAGTCACCAGGGTGGTTGAGCACTTCCACCTCTTCTACCTATCGCACCGGGGATTTTATTTTCTTTGGATGCAAATGGTTGCACCAGCAAGTTTCCCACCCTGAGACATTTAGAGCACAGTGCATGGATGGAGTGATTAGGTATCCTGTGTGTGAATGTAAGTGCTCTGTGCGCGGGAGCGGACTGTGGGAGGCAGTTTTTCTGAAATTGCCTGTCCACTGCTCTGAGGAACCACTATGGTGTGTGAGGCTTGGTCTTCATACCTTTTCCCTTTTTTTTTTTTTCTCTTTAAGATGTAGGACCGTTTAGATAAATGGAAATGGCATGAAAGAGCCCAGCTCTGGAAATGAAAGATCCCTCAACCGACCCAGTGATTTGAGCTCAATTTTTCCTGGCGTTTCCTGTTTCACTGTGTTTTGTTTGCAGCTTAGCCAATTTTCTGTCTTGGAATTTATTATTTTTTTTTTATTATTGGATGATTGTGTTTACATTTTATCCACATTTTATCCATTTTTGTAAATGTATTTACATTTTGTAAATGTGTTTACATTTTATCCATCCAAATGGTTGTGCTTACATTTCCTCCGCTCTATATTGATCTCACTGTTATTTTTATTAGCAACTGTGTCCTGAAATAGGCTGGCTTTGGTGGCATACTGAGACAAGAATTAAAGTCCAACGGGTAATTTGATCATCAGCAAGTAGTGTGTGTTTGGCCTTGTCTGCTCCTAGCTGCTTCTCCGTGTGCTTGCCTGGAAACTACCCTGGGGTCACGGCAGAGGTGGGTGTCCTGACCACCTGATCAGGATGAGCAAGTGAGGGGTGTCCCCTTTAAACAATTCAAGGAAGTCTCTAGATCACAGACCCAGTTCTTACGGGGGGCATGAGGCTCCCTGACATTTGCTGGAAGGACAAAATTGTTGGGATGCAAGTAATTGGGATTTCTGGATGGAGGCAGGGATGACTTCTTGGTCCAGGTCCTGGAATGGGACCTGCCATCCTTATATTTTCTGGGAGAGCTTGTGATGGTGTCTTGGTGTGGCCAGGACCTTCTTGGATATTTGGTAGTTGAGCTGTTGATAATACATTGCAGCTGACGTATGGGAACAGCTAGCATGTTTGTGTATCATTGATGTCTTGCTGGGTGGGGGAAGGTTGAGGCTTTGACTGCTTCTTACCTGGTGGGCTTTGTAGATGATGTGCAGTTTCTTTTCTTGCTGTTCACTTTCCTCAGATTTTTTGAAAGCCAGTGTGGGCAGTCCACCTGGCACTATGCAGCAAGGGGTAATTTTGCATTGGCCTTTGGTGCCTTCATCTCAGAGGGTTTTTTTCTTCAACCTCATGTAATTCTACTAAGGTCATGAAAATCAAGTGAACCAGCATGCTGTATTTGTACGTAGTTAAAGGAGCCTATCTCAATATCCATGTGCGTTATTAATATGGGGTGATTTCTCTCTAAGGAAATGAAGCAAGAAATATTCTTTTGTTGTTCCTTTTGCTGGATGATAAGGGAGATTTCAGAACAGTTAAATCTTTGCTTTGGCAGCTCCATAACCAAATAACTGGACGTATTTTTCTTAGAATAAGATGTGAAGAGAGCAAAAGTGAGCTGACTCCCTGGGCACAGACAGGTCTTTTGTTGCAGGGAACTGGAGAAGAGGGAGGCCTTGTGCTCAAGACCAGATAAATCCACACTGAAGGTCCTCTAGAACAGTGGGCGCCAAAGTGGGGTGCATGCACCCCAAGGAGTTTGGAAGATGATCCATTAGGGTACAGGAAGAAAATATTAACATTTCTATTTATATTTAATTTTGAAAAAAAAAATATTAAGTTTTACTCATATTTAATATTCAGATTTGACAGTGGCAATTTTACTTGGTCTGTATGTCAGAGGTCACATATGGTACCGATGTGTCGGTAGATGTGGAGGAGAGTGGGTACTCCACAATGTGGAGGTGTTCACAGTAGCACCCTCATCCCTTTGTTCGCTTTCAGCATATTACAGTGCACTGCTGTTTATGTGTGCCCAGCTAAGCGCATTTGTGGATTATACTTAGTTTTACCCAAACTAACCCTCCCAAAATGGACAAGTGGCTTCAAAAGATTCCTTGCAAAGAAGCTGCAGGCAGAAGTTGACACACAAACAAACAACAAGCAAAGGGCAGAGCTGGCAACATACTCCTGGTATAAACTCTGCATCAGCCACCTTATGAGGTAAAAAGCAATGTCTGTCTAATTACACTTGACAGGAAGTTGATAAAAAAAAAATTTGAAATTGCGACAAAGGCTATTTGAAATATGGATTTAAATCTGCTATTGTTAACGATGAACCTTGCTCTTAATATATTCTGTCTTAAAATATTAGCTAATGCTAGCAAGACATTTAAAAAAATAGCATCAAGAACGTAGACAAAAACATCTATGATTTTTTCAGTGATGCTTTATAGTATGTCACATCAATCCAGTACTTTACAAAATTTCACTAAATCTAATGATAAATGTTTAAAAGCTTCTTTTGAGGCTTCTCACTTATAGCAAAAGACGAAAAGCGACATACCATCGGGGAAACACTTGTTCTTCCTGCTGCAGTAAAAATGGTTGAAATAATACATGGAAGACAATATGGTGACAGAGTAAAATACATTCTTTTGTCAGCAAATACTGTTGGAAGATGCATAGAAAACATTACTAAAGAGCTGAAGAAACAGGTGTTAGAATTATAATGCATGTGCGTGTGTGTGTGTGTGTGTGTCTGTGCGCTTAAAGCTTAAAACTTAAGCTGAGTTTACCAGTGTGACACTGCTTTTCCACCTATGACAAATAGCTCAGGTGGAAAGCCAAGTAAGTGAAGGCAAATACGATGACTAACATCACCTTTCCCTTGACAATTACGTTATTCTGTAAACTGCAGTATTTGAAGATCATGGATCATAATGATGTTAGCCGTGTAGGCTGCCACACGACAGACCACATAGCCCAGCTTTGATCTGTGAGGGTACTTGAGTCTTCTTGGAGCCTGAACCAATGAGCAAATAGGCCTTCTCGTGCAAGATTATTTCTGTGTGTTTCATTGCATTTCCTCCCCTTCAGGTCTTGTCAGAGGAGCAGATGTTCCCTTTAGCTGTCTGGACTGTCAAAGTAGTCCAGAGAGAGGCAGACAGTGTATTTAAATGTTCATTTTGAAAATAAAAGGAAAGGGGGGTAGGGGGTTGGTGTGGTGTTCAACCTTCGGTGAAGCTTCTTGTTGCTAAGCCTTATTCATATAATAGGAAAATACTGCCAGTACTTTTGATGCGAAGCAATAGGCTACTGTAGTGCATTTATTTTTTGCATCCATTTTAGCAGCCTTACAAATGCATCATCTGCCATCTACTGTTGCCAAACAGAGGCATCCTCCCCTCCCCTGGCTCTAGCCAGAGCCCAGAGCTGGACGTCTGGTGGAAATACAAGTGCAGAAAACTGTATGCAATGTTAGTAGCAGAATACAAAGAAAACTTCACACTATATGAACAATATTAACCAATACTATTAATACAGTGGTAGTGATAATACAGTGATCAACTGAACACCGTGATCAACTGAATAACCTGTACTGCAAACTCTAAGTTAAAAAAAAAAAAAAAATCCCAGTTGGCCAAATGCAGATTTCTTTTGGCATCTCCTGTACAGCTGCACTGACAGGACCTTGCTGGGAATCCTCACACTTTTGAAGTGAGTCTTGCTGTCCTTGTGCACATGGTGTACTTAGAGCGCTGTTACTGTTATTAGTAAATGACAGTGAGTTGCTTTATGTTAATTCATAGAAAAGAGAAATAGTGTTTTGTTAAAGTTGTGCAGACAGCAGATGCGAGTCCAGTAGAAACTTGCTACTACTACTGGTAATCATCTCAGGCAGTCTAAATTTCAGCAGCAAATGAACCCATGGATTACACAGATCTTTGATTAACATACTTGCAATCAATTAACTGCTATACGCAGCCGCAGTGTTACAAGTGGCTCAGACACCTAAACAAAGGTTACACTCATTCACATCTGCACATATGAAAGGTTCCCAGGATCCTCGTGCTTCAGAGGAAAATGCAGGAACAGTTATGAACCTAGTTATTGGTGGAAACCGTGTGTTGTTGTTACCAGATGACTAGTAATTACCTGCAAAATACGGAAGAAGTGGACCACACCTCCTAAATGTGAATGTACAGCCTTTGATTTGCTTTCACTCTAGAGGCTGTATTTCATTTTATAATACAATAAAACAGAGCGTTGGGAAACAGATAGTTTGGTGGTTGACTTTCACTTATGCTGCAAACAATTTGTTTAGGCTGTTCAGGCGACTGAGACAGAAGATGGTTTAGTTCATTAACAACTCACTCTTGTAACACTTACACGATCATAACGCTATGCTTGTCCAAGAAAGCCCCTCTGACGAGCAGGGTGCTTGAGCTTATACTCAGGTAGGCAAATGGTAGGCTGCACCATTCTGTCCCCAAGCACAAGCATTCACTAAATCAAAGAATAGACCTCTGGAGGTCATCAGCCCTCCTGCTCAGGCAGTGTCACCTAGAGCAGGCTCTCCAGGATCATATCCAGAGGGCTTTTGAATATCTCCAAGAATGGAGAGTCCACCACCTCCCTGGGCAACCTGTGCCAGCGCCCAGTCACACACACACGTATCCCCCCCGGTAAAGAAGCATTTCCTGAAATTCAGAAGGACTTTTCTCTGTTTTAGTCCATGCCCATTTTCTCTTTTCAGTTATAATGTGTAGTGCAGTTATCTAGGGCATCATTACAGGATCTAGAAAGTAAAGGTCCTTTTTTTTTCCTGGAAAAACAAGGCATTGTCAATTCCAGCAAGATCTGAGCCTTACTAGGTCACAAAGAGTAGGCATGGAAACCGATCACAGCCACCAGAACGCAAAGGTCATTTACCTTCCAGTTTTATGAAACTGGATTCTTCATAGGCTGTTTATTTACTGAAAAAAAAAATAAACTTCATTTTATATAAATGCTAATGCATCTAATAACATTTAGTGCAATAAAACACATAGTGCTTTTGTGATTTGGAGCTATCAGCACACCTTGTATGGAAACATCCTGGAAATAGATTCCCACAGCTCTACTTTTCCTACACTCACAATGATACGTCATCAAAGCTGAATGATATTAAATGTGGCTACGGCATGTGAGTCTAGCAAACAGCCCTGCTGCTTTTAAAGGGAGTTCTGGGTAGGCAGCAGTTCACAGCCTTGAGGTGTTTGTCCCATCATCATGCTCAGATATTTCATTTGCTTCCCCCTGACTCTTAAAGTAAGAACTGCAGTCTTCTCTTTTCTGGTCTTAGATGTGTATTGAAGTGTTTCTACCTCAAAACTAAAGGAGAAAAAGAAAATAAATATTTGGGATTCCAGATCGATCAGAAAAGAACTAAGGAAACACTTCTTTTTTCAATGTGAATGAAATGCAACTAAATCAGTCTAAGCGTACCGCATCTTCAACCAAGCGTGAACAACGCTAACATCTGCAGCACGATATAGTATTCATCTGTACACATCAGCTAAATTATTCCAGTGATACTGGAATAATTTCAGTATGTATTTCAAACATACTTGAAACATGCTGACACTGGCACAGACTGGTGTTAGATACTGATGCCATCAAGCCTGGAACAGGCACCACTGCTGTGACATGTGGATTCTCCATCTGTTTGTCTCGGGTGTTTCTCCCTGCAAGCGAGAGAATGCACCATCCCTCCCTGCCCTGAATGGGTCTTCCAGACCACGGAAACAAGTTTGGTCTCTGTGGTATGGTCAAGACTACAGATTTGGGGGTTTGGCCAGATCTAAGCTAAGGTGATCAAGTGCAGAGCTGCTGGAGTGGTTATCCCCAGAGTCTTGTGTTACTGAGGTGGTCACAGATGTGAGTTGCCCTTGCAAAATTTTGCTTATGGATCTAGTCCATCATATAAACACCCTTCATGTTCAAGGGAAATAGAGTTTTCTTCTATCTCTCATAGACACAGGAATGATTAGGATGTAAAAATTCAGAGACTGAGATGAATTTCTACGTATTTTGGCCTCAGCACAAATAGTTTCTGGATGCATAGAAGGCTTAGATGGGAGCTATTAAATGTAACAAGGCTCAATAAACCAAAATTTACTGGTTAAAAACGTATCACCAGTCATTTTGTTTAACTGGAGTACTTACATTATTTCTTAACTGAGAAAGACTCACCAATTCACATTACAATTGTTGTTCATAACATCACCTAGAAATAAAAGCTATAGTGAACATCTAGTTCAGATCTGTGTCACATATCACAAGTTCACTTTATTAAATTGCTAAATGTCATTGTTATTTATCTTAATTTTTAAATACTGCTTTACAAAGCAGTGACTTTTTAATCTTTTGAAAAGATTTTGGAATGCTACTGTTAATAGCATGTAAATGCTATTTTTATCGACTTTTTTCCCACCAAATGGTTGACTGGGTCTTGATTAAATAAGCTGAATTTGTCTATTTCTTGAATGTTTTCATTTCTTTGTTGTTTTATTTATTCATGTAGTACTCACAAAAGCCTTGGAAAACCATACAGAACAGCATACATGCAATGATATCACAGGAAGATGGACTTTAGAGATAAAACACAGAAGAGACCCTTACAGTGACTTTTTTATTAATACATACTAAAATGGATGCAAGGCAAACCTTGTCTATATTCCTGAATTTTCTTTGTATCTTCAGTCACACATGTTCAAAAGCAGAGCACCAAGAATGTCAATGTTTCAGTATCATAGGAAATCACACAAAGGAGTTGGATTAGGTATCTTAATATTTTAAATGCTCTCAATTAGCAAAACATAGAGGCTTGCTTGACTTGTTTTTAAGAATAATAATTAACTACTGAGTAGAAATTGCGTATTTTTAGGTTTTAAACGCTTTCATAAATTCATTAGACACAATTTTTAATTTTTTTTTAATACTTGCTTTTCTTTTTTTTCTTGTCCCTCGAGCCTTGTCCTTTAGAGGCTTCCTACCTGTGAAAGGAGACATGGGTTCTGTTAAGATGTGCAAAAAAATAGGCTTCTCTTTTCTGTCTGTAAAATTAGAGTTTAACATCATTTAACATCTCAACATTGAAGGCCATGAAATTAAATCTCAGTTTACCTATATTCTGTGGTCACAAAAGCACTCATGCTATCAAAACCACCCTCACACAGGGCACTACTTGGTCAGCATCTTCTACTTGAGCACTTTGCTCAAGTCCTCCAAATTGCGGTGCATCCTCAAGTTTATCACTGTAAGTCTTACAAAACTCCTTCATCTTAAATTTTCCAGGCGTATGCCAATATTGCATTCTGCTGCATTCCCAGTCCTCATACCTCATAGCACTTTCACTTCCCTCCCCCTTCAGCTCAGACCCAACTATGCTACTGAACACTCAATTCTCAAAGCTGACTATAGTGATATTGAAAATATGAGGCCATCTTAATACAGCTATTAATACCAGATAAAGAACACTTACATATCTTTCCTGTAGGCTTTCCTGAAGTCCATACTTATTTTCCTCTTTCAACACATTTTGGATACGCCAGCTGTCCTCTCTTACACTGCACTTGAAATAAAGTTGTACCAGATTCTGCTCCAAAATGGTTCTCTTTACAATAAAATCCAACATAATCCCCATGGTAAAAGTAAACTTGATTCTTATAGAACCCTTGCAGCAGCACATTATTTTTCTCCATTTCATTTTTTGACAAAGTACACGGCTCTAAAGAAAAGAGATATAATCAGTGTTATAAATTGATTATTTTTGAAATCACAGCATTTTCACTAGTCTAAACTAAAACTATAGATTGTTTCCCATTCTCTTATTATGCGTGAAATCACTATTTTTGGATCCTGCAGGCATGTCGTATTTAAGAGGGGAAAAAAAAGGGCAGACAAGCTTACACTTACTGCTATTAAAAATTTCACCTCTAACTGAAAAAAATTGAAGCTGAGATCTTAAAGTTCTAGTTGACAATACTTGATTTATAAATTCTAAGTATCTGAATTGAGAGACAGTTGGGGTTGTTCAGCCCGGAGAAGAGAAGGCTGCAGGGAGACCTTATTGCAGCCTTTCAGTACTTAAAGGGGGCTTATAAGAAAGATGGGGACAGACTTTTTAGCAGGGACTGTTGTGATAAGACAAGGGGTAATGGCTTTAAACTAAAGAGGGAAGATTCAGAGGAGATACAAGGAAGAAATTTTTTACAATGAAGGTGGTGAAACGCTGGCACAGGTTGCCCAGAGAGGTGGTAGATGCCCCATGCCTGGTAACATTCAAGGTCAGGTTGGACGGGGCTCTGAGCAACCTGATCTCGTTGAAGATGTCCCTGCTTATTGCAGGGGGACTGGACTAGATGACCTTTAAAGGTCCCTTCTAACCCAAACTATTCTATGAACTGTACAGAGAAATAAGTGCTTGTTTAACTTATCACACCTACCTATACAAACTGGTGGTGAAGTCCACTGTCCTTCAGAACAGTAGATTCTCTCAGATCCTTGCAAAAAATGATAGTCAGAGCAACTATACTGAACTGACGAACCACTGTCATACTGCATCAGGGGTGGGACAGTGAGAGCTCCATTTGCAATAGAAGGTGGAGAGTCACATTTTTCTGTAGGAGCTGGAATTACATTAAAAAACATTTGAGAAACATTCAGCTTAAGAAGCTAACAAATCAGCAGCTTTAACTGCCTGTCAACACTAGGTATCTATCAACTCTCAGACAGTGCCTTTTCTTACTCTTTCATTATGTCTCAGATGAGAATGCAATCTCCTGCTTAATTCTAACCAGAAGAAATCCCTTGGATGCATTTAATTGTTTACAGCGGTCTTTCTACAGAGCTTTGAGTTCTTCAGGGTTGGAGAACAGCTCCTCCCTCCTTTCTGCAGCCTTCCTCATCAAAGGAAGGTGCATTGTTTTTCCATGCTTGGATATATTTAACAGTATAGCTGTCTTATACAAGGATATCTGTGCATATCTGTACTGTTGAATGCTAACCATCTATTATTTACAACAGATTCTAGGCCTGCACTGCCAAAGCAAGTTGTTTCTAAATAGGTCTGAGATTGATTAATTAAAAAGGCAATTAAAAAAGTATTGTTTTACCTTGCATAATGCATTTCGGATATTTCAGTCTGCCATCGTTACACTGTGTCCTCCCAGGAGATGGAACGGTAGTCTGGAGAAAATTATACCCCTGTTTACATTCAAACTCTACGAGATCACCATGTAGGAAAATTAATTCTTCCTGTCTCCATTTCAACTCTATGTTGTTGCTGTTCATATCAGTTACATTAAGAGTGCATGGTTCTAGGAAATAAAAGTGTACTTCAATAAAAAGCGCCCTGAGGTGATTTCTTAGCTCCCTTTTGTAGGGGTCAAGAAAGAGAAATTTAAATCAATAGTTCTACAATGTTTTAGAATCTTGCAAGAAAAAGAACCACAGATGCATTAAAAAAAAAAAAAAAAAGCAAATGTAAAGAAATGGGCTGAAGTAACAGAAATAATATGCAAAAAAAGCCCTAACCTAGGAACAGGAACTTACAGAAAACACACACTTTCTCACAAAATCTGATTTCTACAAGTATTTGTAGGCATATGGTGGCCTGGGTTTAACATTGAAGAAGAACAGAACTTCTTTACTGTAAGTTGAACAGATTTTTGTAACGAAAACAGTCATCCACCAGAATTAACTTGTCAGATTTGGCTCACAGGTTTGCCAAGTCCTTCAAGGATAGTAGTAGTTAATACACAGTAAATTTAAACTGTTAACCTAAGGAAGTGTTTTGACAATTCCCTTTCTTTGCTTTTTGCTTTGTTTTGTCACTGTTAAAAGAATGTAGAGAACTTCCAAAAATCATTGGAAGTTTTGTGTTCTTCTTTGGGCTTTTTCAGGTTCCTCAAGGTCAATATTATTTTGGTTGCATTCTGACAGGCTTCTTAAAATTTATTGCCAGGATCACATCAGGTAGCCTTGCTTTCCATTAGACAGTTAACCTCAAAACAACTTTTGAAACCACTTTTCAACTTCAATAAATGCTGACAGAGGGACACTTATAAAAATAAATTTCTACAAGTTCCACAAGAATCATTGCCCGAGGGAGGCCCTTATTGATGCTTTGCTTAGGGAAAGGCAAGGAGAAATCAGTTATTACACATTTTGATGACAGCACCATGCAGTAAATTGGTATGGATATTTTCCTGAAACTAACTACAGTATGTGCTCTTTCTGGTCTGATTAGGTGAGGGTTGAAAAGAAGTCTCAGGAAACACAGAAAGGGAGATGTGGTTATTTGGATGCTTAGGAGACAAGTAATGCTCATAGGAAATGAGTTTTCATCATTTCACAGGATTTGTTAAATTTGAGTATTCAGATCCAAGAATGCTGAACTGGACCTTTCAATCCAGATGAGGTACATTTTATTCATTTAGAAATAAGTAATTAAAACTAAACTGGTTATTTATTTGTATTTTCACAGTAGATTACAAACATATAGTGAGACAATTTAAGAAAGGATACTAGTAAAACAGAATTATTTCATAACAGGAAGGAAGGAAAGATAAACAAACAACTCTTGTAAATCATCAGTAGTATTCCTGCTAGTATTAGTAAACTCCTAATGGGAGTTCTAGACATTGTTTTGAACAGCATACATAAGAGCAACATGGAAAAATTAGAGAGTTCAGAATGAAAATATAGACATAAAGATACATAATAAAAGCAAAGGCTGAAGGCTTAAAAATGGAAGTCCAAGAAGTCATTGTATTCTTTGTTAATCATATCTAAAAGCCATTTTGGCAATGGCTGCAGTTATTCCTTCCAAACATCTATTGAAAGACAGGAAGAAATTCACCGAATGGAGAACACAAGAGTAAGAAATTACAGAATCCTCCTAGGTAGTAGGGATAGCTATGTTCTAGAACAGCTTACTCAGGAAAACAGAGGAATCTATTTGAGTGTTTGTAAGAACCGGCCAGAGGACACCTAGCAGAGGTGGCCTAGGTATATCGGGGTTTGGTTCATCCTCTTGTTTCTGGAATCTTTATTAACTCAAGTGAAAAAGAAGAGGTAGTCATGAAAGGATTATCTAGAAGTTCTTTCCCGTTTTACTTTTCTTTATTACTAGCTATTACAAAACCTTTTCTTACAAGACTTACCTAAGCAAGTTGGTTGTTCTGTCCAGTTTCCTTGTTCGCAGTAAACAGTACTGGGTCCATCCAAAGAATGGTAACGCTGACAACCATATTCTACTGAGGCACCATTTTTGTAACTTGTCAATAATGGACCAAGAACACCACCATTTTTAATCACAGGTGGAGAGGTGCAGTTTTTCTGCATTTCTTCTGCATACAAGGTAGTGAGATAGGTAATTAGATCTTTAAAGCAATGTTGAAACCAGCAAATGGATCAGCAAACGGATCAGAGTAGCAACAAGACTGAGGCAAAAATTTACATGCAAATAAAACGTAAACCAATATAATTTCTTTTTTCAATTTCATCTTCCAAAACTCTACACTTGCCTTACTGAATTGCAGACAGGCATTCTATTTCCCTCTAGACTCTTCATCTATGTCCGCTCTTGACTCTTGCTGGTTTACACTCGGTATAGATTAGTTCTTTTTCTGTGATGAGACCATCTTTATTTGTTGCTTGAAATGTTTAGCCCATTGTGGTAAACAATAAACAAAAGAAACCTCACTGGAATTATTAATCAACAGATCAGCTAAATATTCCTGAATTTGCATGTTCAGGCAACATTAACAGAAGGGGTACAAAATGACTGAAGGTAAATACTCATATATGAAATAAAATGACAAATACAGCACAGGCTTGTAGGTGTAGTTTATAATCACTGGAAACAAGCAACAATAGCCTTTCATTCGGTCAGCCAGGCTGCTCCATTGACATCCGTAGAACATACAAACATTTTTAAGAGTAAGGAACTGTACTATAGCAAGAGTTATCAAAGTAGTCATAAAATGTCTATAATAGCATTGGAGAGTATTGAGGTCCCTTTTAAATAGAAAAGCAATGTTCACCTACTCATATCTTCATTGGGATATGTTTTGCTTGCCCTTAGTGCTGCGTCTTCCTCGAGTGGTGGTAGTGCCTCAGATTCCTGTCTATCCGTAGTTCCTATAAGCATAGCAGAATCTTAGAACCAGTTTTCTCAGAAATAACTCATTTTCAGATACCAAACCAGACAGACACTGGTGCATTGTACAACATAATAAAATCAATATTCCAGGGGAGAACACACAACATGGATGTCAGCTGAATTCACCTACCTCATCCTTTCTTTTTAATCTATAAATAATGGGTCATTTGCAAATTATGCAGCGCTTTACCTCTCAAGCACTTGAACAGAGGAAGACAAACAGTTTTGCAGATATGGAAACTGAGAGTCTCCAGAAAATTAAGGCATTGTTTGAAGAATCATTTCTGTTCAGGTGTCAGTCTTCAAAAAAGTACTAACCAGTACAAACAGGGGGTGATGTCCATTTTCCTTTTTCACATTGGATTTCCTCAGATCCTCTTATTTCAAAGGTACTTTGACACTGTATACGAACTTTGTCTCCATTATGATATGTTCTTCTAACTGTGATGATACGGGCATGAGGAGGAAGCGGTGGTGGAGGGCATTTATTTTTTACATCTGAAAACAAGAAAAATGCATATTGTTTTCTCACTAATCAAAACCACATACACAATTAATTTCATTATGCAGTATGCAAGTCTTACCACTCAAAAGACACTTTTGATTGATCCAGAGTAATTGCTTACTCTCATTTTCTTAACAAAACAGGAGACCAGAACAAAAAAGTGATTTTTACATTCAACAAATATAAAAGAGAGGTATTATTACACTGCTATAAACAAATTTGTAACTTCTCCACATAAAGTCAATAAAATGTTCTTTAAAGGACTTCAGGAAATAGAGATTTCTCATACCCTCCACTGATATAATATTTAGAGCAGCTTATGTATTAATTCTAATGCTACAGAAGCAGCAATATAGTCCTTTCCTATGCCCAAATTAAGTTTGCAATTACTGTATCGTCAAAGCGAGATTTAGGCCATGTTTTCAATCTCATGAGCACCTCACCTTCTTTGGGCTCACTCAAGAAAAATCCATGCTGTGTCATCAGACTAAATACAGGGCTGGGATCCTAACACACGCCATTTAATTAAGAGATTCTAGTGCATTTTAAACACTACTGTATCTTCTAGGATAGGAAAGTGAATTTCATCTTTGTGCTCAATCACGTATTCTTCTACAAGATCAGCTATAAAGGAATAACAAAACACTAATTTTACTGAAAACTGTGCTTAACACAACTATATTTTTTAAAGGCTAAATGTGGATGTTTTTTTAAATCTCAAGCACCGCCCTCCTCCAACGATTATTACATTTGCTTTAGAAAACATACTTTACAGGAAAAAATCCTGTAAAAATATATTGGAAAAGACTACCACAGATCTAGCTTAAACCAATAAAAATGATTGACTGTCCCATCCTCTGTCATTAACAGCTGGCATCCTTTGTATATAAAGCAAAGAATTTATTACCATGAGGCAGTGAGATCTCCTAAAGCTCAGAAGCAATCCTCATAAAGGGGACAATATCCAGAAAAGACAACAACCCACAACTATCAAGGTATATCGAACAATATGACAAATTCTCAGCTAGACTAAATGATCTGTAGTGTTTTCTGCTGTATGCTATATCTTATCTGTTCACTGGACATTTCATTCTTTTGAAAGTTTCTTTTCGGAGAATCTCCATTACCCCCCAATGATTGGGGAAGTGATAGTAGTTGCTAAAGGTGTGTTTCCATCCTCAGGATAACCCTTCTAGTGAATTCTGTTGAAAACACGTACAGTTTGGTGAGGCTGTAAAACCCTGAGAAGTACCACAAACCCCAAGCTCCAGAGGAACTTGTTACCTTTTGAGAGGCATGAAGAAGAAAATTTGTATGTTCCCACCTCACAAGGCAGGATTAATGAATCACATGCTTGATTAAACCTTCATGTAATCTGAACATGGTTTAACTTGAGCTTTAGGGGCTGAAAAACTTCCCTGTAGTTGTCGATTCCCACTTCTTCAGGATACAACGTACAGAGAAACAACAGCAAGAGACAGGAACTGCTCTATTGTTAAGACTAATTCCAATTACCACTGTCCTTCAGCTACCACTTGATTTCTATTTAGGCTGTGAACTGGTACAAAAAGCTTATTTTTATTTTGTACTCATAAAGCATTTTGTGAAAGAAGGTGTCAGTATTTCACTAAGAATTTGCTACAGTAAAAATAAGGTACCTTCACACACTGGAGGGTCTGGATGCCATCCAAAATAATAACATTGAATTAGGTCAAATTCACTGAGAGAATAATTTTGCTCACAGAAAAAGTGAACTACATCTCCCTCTTCATAGATTTTCTTCACAGGATAGAAACCTCCATGTGCTATTGCACTCAAAGAGGAGCAAGTTATTTCTAGGAAAAAAAACACACAGCAGTGAAAACCGGTTGAGGAAGGCTTCCCCCACCCCCAACAGCTTGTGAAACAAATCTTTTTGTGAATTTTTGTTCATTTGTAGAATAAATCACATTTCAAACAGAATTATTTTCCAGCCCCTTACATACTAGAGCAGTTTGGAGTACGGGACCACCCATGTGTTAGACACACCGCTGCTTCTGTAGTGTTTCCTCCTGCAGTATGATATCCCTCATCACATTCGTATAGCAGTGTTTCATTCAGTCGAAGCTCTTGTTGGGCTGTGAAGTAGCTGCCGTGATGTAAACTGGGTACGTGACACGACTCTTAAATAAATAAGACATATGCATAATATTAATTGCTCTTTTCAAGTTATTAATCCAAAATTTGCCTTAGATACATCTTAAAAGTGGTCTTACCTGAAACAAAAATCTTTGCAAGTACTGAATAATTAAAACCGCAATAATTTACACAAGTTTTCCAGTCTTCACTTGGGAAGAAAGTTTGGATGGCAAGAGATTTATTTGAAACAATGTGATTTCATCTACACCGTTTCCTTCTACGTATAAATTTATCTATACCAATTCACAAAACAAGCAGCATGTGAAATTCGACAACTCCGTTGCAAGAGGTATTGACTGACAACCTACTTTAGAAGAACTCAAACGATAGCCTAACGCAGGCAGTTTGGCCTTGTAAGTACAGCAAGAACAGCAGAATTATATGTATCTAAGACAGATTATAAAGGAGAGAAATGCAGAATCCTACCAAGTTTTTTAGTGCAGCTTGGCTGGGAGGACCACCCTTCTGGCTGACATTGCACAATATCTTCAGTGCCACCGCTTGGAGTGTGGTAGCCTGGGTTACATTTGTATTGCAGTTTCTCCTGTATTTTGAAGTACATTTCTGTACCATAAAACCCACCATTTTCCAAAAGAGGCTTGTTACATTTTTCTAAAGAAAGGAGACAGCTTGGTTAGAAAGAAAGAATTACTGGAATATTTTTGTTCCCTGATAAGTAAGAGAAGGGGACTTTCAGCCATCCTGATCTAATCTTGTTTTCTTGACCTACTGAAGAAACTCTACCACAGTCAAACTATACACCAAGCAGGAGATAATAACATCAAACACAACAATCAAGGAATCTAGAGCTAGGGAAGCTCTAGAGGGTATATATCTGAGAGGAAATTGTCCATTAGTTTTCCCAAAACAAGGAAACTGGGTAGCTTTCTTGAATTTCTTATAAAAATATTTATGATAAAAGCCCTTAATAGATGTATTATTGTAAATTATATATATTATATATATTCCATATATAAACATTTGTAGTTTGTATACATAAATGACTGATTTCACCTTGTTGCCCCAACTCATATGTTTTATCCCTCCTGCTGGAGAGCTTCTGTTCCTGTACGTTCAAGGAAATCCAGCTAGAAGTTTCCTGCTAGAAGCAACGATGAGGTTAATAAAGCTAACTCACTGTAGCATTGTGGCACTGGAGACCATCCTTTTGCTGTACAAGTTATTCTTCCATCTTGAGTCCCAGTTTCAGTTGTATAACCAACCAGACAAGAATAGGAAAGTTTTTTTTCCTTACGCATAGGGAAATAGTAACGTTTGAAATTATAATAGTACTGGGCAATCTTTCCGTTTTCTATGTGTGGCAAATCACAAGGCTTATCTGCAAAAAGATAAATATATTTCTCACTAAAAATCTCAGCCCAGATACGAACTTTCTTGCATTAATTTATTTAGTAACAGTTGGATTGATTCAGGTTTTCAAACAAGGTGAATGAAATTCTGAACACTTACGAGCATAAAGGGTCTTGTAAGACTCACTGAAATTAAGATATATTACAGTTATATCAGCTTTTGTTCTTTAGGTTCACAGGAATATCAGCTGTAGAATGAAACTTCTTAATATGAATTGGGCAAAACTGATGCAGGACACTTTTATTTTACTATTTAGCCCAGAAGATGTAAGCATGAGCACTCTTTGCTGCGTACACATACTGATGCCTGCTCTAAAATACAGTGGCAGCAGTGTCAAGATTAGCTATGCCATAGCTCCTCATTCAGCAAACATCACAACAGTGTGACAAACTTCCAGTAGGCAACATAGGAGAAAGGGAACTTAAGAACAGAGTCAATGTAAAAGAAAGAAGAAATGGAGATTAAGGAAACATTAAGCAGAACCGCAATTAGAAAAACCTCAAACCATTAACAGGAGAAAAACTTTAAAAGGAGTTGTGCTGAATATAACATTAAGTTATTAAAAAAAACCAACCTAAAAACCCCACAACAACAAAAAAACCCCAAAACACAACACCAAAACAAACCCACACAACCCCCCCCCAAAACCAATAAAAAGCAATCCTTCTGTTTAGATTTCTTCTGAAATCAAGCTTTGGGTCTCAAGAATTCTCTCCATGGCATGACAAGGCAATCTAACCTGAAGAATCAAATTTTAAGAGCTGAATCACCACCTATGAATCTCAGACTTGGGCAGAATTCTCCTACTGCTGCATTCACCCTACACATATTAGAACCAAACTAATGAACTATTTCTCCTTCATTTAATAATGTCACTAGAATTTATTGCATTTACTAGAATTTTCTGCAAATTTATTATTCTTACTAAATAGAAAGTGTCAAGATATTTTAATAATCCCCTTCCTCCCACAGCCACTGTATCACATCTAAATAACTAAAAAACCCACCAAACCTGAAGGTAATTAAGATTTGTAATTAAGTAAAAGTCAGGAATGGTTGCTACCTACATACCTGTTGTTTGACTTTGCGAAGGGCATCAGTGTAATTTCAACTGCTTTGCATAAGGACAAAACTCTAGTGAAGACAGAGGTAGTTGCCACAAATATGTTGGAGTTAAATATACATTAACAGATACCAAATGAAATGCAAAAAAGGGACACCTTTTTCAATTAATTAAGGTGTACCCTCATATACAGTTCACAGCTTTGTGAACTTGCAGTTCAAGTAGTATGTAAACTATATAAACCCAGGAATTTTAAGCAATACTGGAAAATAGGGATAGGAAATGCAGACTAGCTTCTGCAGGTTCCATTTAACTTCCACTCTTTTTGCTTTGTGGTAAGCCAAAACACGTCAATCACCAAGACACTTCAATATATAAAAAGTTTTAATAGTACAAAATTCAATTTGTCTAAGTGCCTCGAAACCACTGAAATAAATTTCAAAATAACTTTTTCTGAAAAAAAATCTGAATCTTTCAATATTACAGCTTTGAAACTTGGATATGAATCCATAGCCCTGAGCTACAGTGACAGTTAAATCATGATCATCAATCATCCCACAAAATTATATTTAAAAAACAGTATTTACTCTTGGTAAAGATACAAAACACTTGAGTTACCTTGGACTGCATGTTCTAGATTCAATGCAAATTTATTAACAATAAAATTCACTGTATTTACCTTCTGCATAGAGTTTGCCTGAATGCATCATAACTAGGAAGAAAAAACAGCTTTTAAATTTCATCTTCATTCCTGTCTCCATTAACAGTTTCCACCACCTGTGAAAACTCCAAGTACTACTTTTGTAAATAATTAACTGGATCTTCAAAAGGATTCACAAATGACTTAGCATCCATGGTATTTTGTAACAAGTTACTTCACTGAACACTAATTTCATTTATTTTAGTTCTCCAGATACCTTAAACACTAGACTTGCAGAATTCAACTTCCATTTGGCATAATTTACATCAGTAAAGAGGACAGAATTTATCATTTTACAGTGAAACAAGGTAACAAGCTTATGAAACGATTTAAACTAATTCAATACTGTTCCCCTCAAAACCTCCCGAGTTCCAAGTCTAAAGGGCATTCTGTTATCAGATTATTTACCTTGGCTGAAATAAGAGGAAACAGAAAATTCCCCACCTCCTCCAGCCTACCCCCAGATAACCAGTCAGTTGCGTTCTATATATTATTCATTCTGGAGGCTCTTACATTAAGAATACAGCCACTACTGTTATCTGACTGTTGGGTCTTATTGTATACAGCTAGCCCCTCTGAGTATTTTTTAAAAATAAATAAATAGCCTTATTTACAATGCATTATCACCTAACTGACTAATGGCTGCCAGTTGATTTAGCACCACATTCCACCCTTGGGAAGCATAATCTTTAAATTTGGGGGTGGGAGGGTATAATTACAGTTTTTATTTTCCCGACCTCGCTCGAAGACAATGCAATTCCAAGGCACAGGAGAACAGAATGTAGGGGAGATGTCACGATGAACACCGTCTATTCAGCCAGATGAGACACATGCTTGTGTGTACTGTTCACTTTATAGGAAGAAAGCACTCCCAATTCACCTCCCTTAAAACACCAGGTCAGAATTTCTAAATTCACTCTTACAACATCCCACTGTCCCATCATAATCTTGTAGCGTTCAAAAAAAATGGGAATTCTAAAAAAAAAAATTTTCCACAGTCACACATGATCCCTCAAAACCTTACTAGAAAGTAAACTCAAGCTCCCCAAAAACAGTAGCCAGTTTTGAAATCCACAGAGTATGCGTCCCTTCCTACCTATACCTCTCCAGATCAGACTAGCCAGCATAACTGTCCCACACAAACAACTGTTCTTAATAGCATTCTACGATATTTAATCCGTGAGGAATACCATGCTATTCGTAAGATTCACAGTTGTGTAATAACAATGCTAGTGAAATACTAGTGTAATAACTGCACTAGTGAAATTTCCAGGGCTTATGATTTTATTGTACAATGCCTTTAGGTAGTAGTACAAAAAAGGATTTACAAAGCTGTATACAATACAAAAAAGTTACAGAAATGTTAAGTACAATTTGAAAAAACATTTTCAAAGGTAGCTTGATACTTATTCGCTTTCTTCCAAAATCATTTAGCTGTCTACTACATACATGCTGTACAAATATACTTTCATATACATCATTTACATTTCAGTAGCAGGCAATACCAAGTGTATCCATCACCATCAGAATTGCTTGCAGAGGATCCACAATTTCTTGCATGTTATCTTTCCTCAAAACCCAGTCTGGTTTAATTCTGTGAAAATATTAGTGGCTTGTCATTAAAGTATTATATTGCTACAGCAAAAGCAGCAGACTAATTTTTAATCTCTTACCTTGAAACTGTTTTTATTCTTAGAGGAGTTACTGGAACAAAGGAAGTTCCACTTAAGAAAGTGTTTGTTTTCTGCTTCACAAGTGTTCTCTCTGTATCCATTTTGTGTTTCCGGGCTGTAAGTTTATATAGGCTTTGAATGCAAGTAACAGCTCTTGGTATGCTTCGGATTTCCTGAGAAAAGGTGAAAATAGCACACAGTTAACACTATGACTTCAAAAGCAACATAAGAAATTACAAAATCTGTTTTATTCAATGAAAACGGAATGTTTCTAATTTAAGCTGAACTTCTACCCACAAGTACAATGAAACCATTTTAAAGCCAGCACACCTACAACAAGTCAGATTTTACTAATTTCTCATTAAAACCGAATTTCACTTATGTCATTGGCATATGCCTTCAATGATTGGTACTGAGACACAAATCAGTGTTTGTACCCATCTTTCCAGCAGTGAAAGAATAATGCAATGTCAGAGGTCTCTGGATAACTTAAGAGCTTATATCTGACGGATATACGGCTAGTGAATGTATAGCATAGAACTCAGGCTGCCCTAATAACTTTATTAGGGATTCTAGCAATAGGCATCAATAAAGGAAATTTCTTTCAGAAACAGGCTATGTCTCTGTTACAACAGAGTATGTCAACACATATAATTGTCATGGACAATTATATTGCCAGTTGTTACTGACAATAAAGATATTAACTTTATCTGCAATGCAACAGTAAACCTTCAGAAATGGAATAAAAGTTAATTAAGTGGCAACTAAACTATATCTAAGGTTAAGCAATTAATAGAAAGGCATCAAAATCCTGTGGAAAGCAGGGACTGCAATATCAGTCTTGCAAAGACTGCAGGAACAGAACCTCAACGTCTTTTTTAATAGCTCTGTGTGACCAGAGCATACAAAGCACAAAGTGTTGAGTGTTTTCACTATCTTGGAAAAGCATTTTTTTTAATCAGAGTTTAGTCATAATTAATAGTACAGCCATAATAAGTACGGTACAGATGGAGAGAAAAAAATAAATTACAAATAATACCAAAACATGCAAGAAAAGCATGTTAAATCCAATTATTAAACCCAAAAACATTTAAGTCTTACCAGAGCTCTTTTTGAGTCCTTTGAAAGGATGGCCAACAAACAACAGGTCTTTGTGAAAATGCTTCCTCCTTTCTCTGCAATTTTGTCCCCAGCTTTTCCTCTGTACATTTGCAGTAGGTCTAGTAACGTATCTATAGAATTTTCTACTTCATAAACTGCTTGAGTAGTTCTTTCATACTGTTAGACAAGAGAGAGGGTTTATATAGACAGATCTTTAAAACACCTTTCAGGTTAGAGGAAAAAGCAGAATCCATATTCTCCTCTACATTAAATTTGTAGCTGATCTGGCATCCAAGCAATAAAAATCACTTCTATATGTTACACTATTATAACAGGTTACAAATAGCTACCTTTTGTGCTCCCCCCTTGTTTAGAGACCCATAGAATCTGATTTTACATTTAAAATAGAAGAGTAAATTAGAATAAGTTTTGAGAAATTTACCCTAAAAGTTAAGGGTTTTTTCCTGAAATAAAAATAAAATAATTTGAACGTAAATGCCTGTACAATGGATATATCCTCAAAGACTATGATATTTAATATTTAAAAATATTTTAAATCTTAAAATAAAAAACTCGAGAACAATCAATCAATACTCAATAACTGCATTACTACTACAGTACTGAAGCAGCTTTAGGTATTTATGAAAATAATCGGTTCTGTAAGAAATCAAAAAGAGTAAGTATGGTGTATTCTATGGCACAAATTCGGAAAAGTAGCCTGTCTTCTGGAATGCATACATTTCTACCTCAAAAAAACCAATAGTTTATCCTAACTACTGCAGGTTTGCATTTCTACACTATTTCATGCATTTCTACACAGTTTCATGCAATAGTTGGGATACTTTTAACTGATTATGTTGCAAGGTAAAATTATTACTTTAAGCCCATCAAATAATTTTCTTTTGCCAAAAGGAAAATTAAATCATAATTATTACAAAGTGGATAATAATTTCAAAATAACATCGTTCAAATTCAGAAACGTTTTGTATTCAAAACTATTAATTTTGTTGTTTCAAATTTATTCAGAAATTTTGTGGATACATAAAAACTACAGTAAAGTAGTCTACAGCTTGTAAACCTGCAAAAGAAAATATTAAAGTTACCTTTGAAACGTTAAGGAGAACTTGAATTGAATATTTGATCACATCCATGCATGGAACACTCCGGTTGCAACTTCGGATCAGAACAAAAATAGTGAAGATTGCTCTGCTCTGGGCCATATTTTCACAACAGAGCGGGGACAGCCTGGTAGCCACCTCTGTGATCATTAAAGAAAAAAAAGGAATTAAAACTTTGAAGCTCAAGCAATTAAATTGCAAACCAGGTTATTTTCTTATTTTTAAGTAGAAGCGCAAAGAAGTAAAAACCGCAATTGATTTAAACAAGTATTTCTAAATACTTTTAGTATTCCAGACTAAAAATTAAGCAGACAAAGCACTCTATGGAGAATATATATTCACAGTAAATATGACTGACATAGTATTACTAGGACTGCCAGGAAATCAGAGCAATCATATAGGATTTCCTTTCTCTACATAACTATTTTAATGTTGTTCTTAAATCAATAATCTAGTTTTAGTGGGGGAAAAAAAGCCCCATTACACTCTCTAACACATTCACATTTTACAATCATGCAGAAAGCCTAAATTTCATTATGAACTCTTCTTAGCTGAAAAATTCCAGTTTTTATCATCCTGGAATTCTGTCAGTTATAATAAAACAAAATACTGACCAAGATGTTTTAATGCTGCAAGAATATAAGAGAGATGCTTGTATTTTAGAAGGTATTCAATAGCAATTGCAGTTCTGTTGCACAGTTTGTTTTCTTCTCTGCTTTTTTCATTAGCTTTTTCTAAACTGCGTCTTAAAGCTTTAGTTTTTGGTGTGTCATTATTCTTTCTCCAGGAATATCCTCTCCACAATGCCTACAGAAAAGGAATTTCACAAAGAGAAAAACATTGTGAAGAAAAGACAATAGAATAGTACTTCCATTACTATTCCAAATCAATTTTACACAAGTCTGAAAGTATTTAATTACCTCAGTTATTAATTTTAAAGTAACTACCACTCAGTGTTTAATCTTCCAAACACTGGATTTTCAAGACAAAAAATAAACCAACCAACCAAAGAAAAAACCCATGCATATACACTCCACTCACACTCCCACGTAAGTCACCTCAACCAGTATCTGCTTAATATTACTTCATGATCTGTTTGCATTGAGCTTCGATGTCTAAACTGAAGCTGACCTGGCTTGCAATTTAACTGATAAACGCACCAACCAAAC